ACAGGAGACTTACCCAATCGACGACTCTTTACCCCAGATGTTGCATCATCAGCTGGCTTGACCACATGCGCACTCCTTGTGACTGGCCTGTGTGGACGACCCTATTTGATTGCAATGTGCTTTCTTGGCCGCCTTGGTTTTGTAGGGTGAAGGGAACTCAAAAGAATATCATCATGGATTGGAGATAGTGGTGGGTTTTGAGGAGCGATTTGGTGAGATGGTGAAGGAGGGGGAATGTTTGGGACAGTGGTTGTGGGAGATTGTGGGTTTCGTGAAAGTGGGGTTTCTTGGAACGGTGATACTGGGGTTTCTTGGACTGGTGATGGGGGAGATTCGATGATGGGTGGTGGTGGGGAGTTTGTAACGACAGGTGAAGATGCTCCTTTAACTAGTGATGGTGAAGGGGTTACTTGTGGTGGTGGAGATGTAGCTTTTAGTGGTGGTGATGGAGCTTTTGGTGGTGGTGATGGAGTTTTTAGTGGTGGTGATGGAGCTTTTGGTGGTGGTGTGGTTGGGAGTTGGCTTTCTTCCCCAAGATTGGGCACAATATCAACAACTGGGTTCTCTTCCCCCTGAGAATATGCACTATCAGACGAGCTTTCGTTATCAGAGTAAGCAACAAGTGGATTAGTCATGGTGATGGAAGGGATTTTGGTTTCTTGGTTTTCTGAAGAATGAAGATGAGAGAAAGTTGGTTGCTAGTTTAGAGAGAGTGCTTTATTGGGAACGGTTTTGATGTTGTAATCAAGGGGTTGGAGTAATTATGGGGGATTGACAACGAGGAGACGTTCCCTGTGACGGTTGCACCTGCTTTTCAGAGAGGGGACATGGGAGAGAGAAGATGAGATTAATTTCCCCCAAATTATTTTTTTTAACCTTTTTTTTAATTTAACCCTTTTTTTTAAATGTAAAGATTATGTAGAACCATTTTGACTGAACCTGGTTTATACCTCATTAGAACTTGATTGGGCATAGTTCATTCTAAGAAGATGAGCCCTAACTCAAGTCTATTTTTCTGAAATGACTCTCTTCCTAGTGCCTTGGTGAAAATATCAGCAACTTGATTCTCAGTTTTGCAGAACTCCATTATTATGTGTCCTTTTTCAACATTATCACGAACAAAGTGATGTCCAACATCTATGTGTTTGGTGCGCTTGTGTTGAACTGGGTTTTTGGCCATGTTTATAGCACTTGTGTTATCACATAGAATAGGAATACAACCTGTTTCTATACCAAAGTCTTTAAGCTGCTGCTTTATCCAAAAAAGTTGGGCACAACACGAAGCAGCTGCAACATACTCAGCCTCTGCAGTAGATAGAGCCATTGAATTTTGTTTTCTTGTTGCCCAGGATATTAAACATCGTCCTAAAAAGTGTGCCATCCCAGAAGTACTTTTTCTATCAACCATGTGTCCTGCATAATCAGCGTCAGCAAATCCCTTTAGATCAAAAGAGTCACCCGTTGGATACCAGAGAACCAGGTTTATTGTACCTTTCAAATATCTCAGAATTCTCTTGACAACTTTTAGATGTGATTCCTTTGGACAAGACTGAAATCTTGCACATAGACCAACACTAAACACTATATCAGGTCTGCTGGCAGTGAGATATAGGAGTGATCCAATCATACCTCTATATCTAGTGTCATTGACTGGTGAACCTGGTTCATCTTTATCAAGCTTTGTTGTTGTCCCAATGGGGGTATCATTTGTCTTAGCTTCATTCATATCATACTTCTTCAGTAATTCCTTGATGTACTTTTGCTAATGAATTGATATTCCAACTGGATTTTGCTTAATTTGGAGTCCCAAGAAGAAGTTCAACTCTCTCATCATACTCATCTCAAACTCACTATTCATTAGTTGAGCAAATTCTACTCCTAGTGAGTCATTGGTTCCTCCAAATATGATGTCATCTACATATACTAGGACTATGAACAGATCTTTACCTTGTTTTTGAAGAAATAGTGTATTATCAATTTTTCCTCTTGTATATCCATGTGTGAGAAAGAAAGTAGACAATCGATCATACCATGCTCTTGGTGCTTGTTTTAACCCATAGAGTGTTTTGTCCAGTTTATATACATGATCAGGATATATGGTATTCTCGAAACCTGGAGGTTGTTTTACATACACCTCTTCTTGTAGGTAACCATTTAAAAAGGAACTTTTGACATCCATTTGGTAGAGTTTGAACTCCATGTGAGCAGCATATGCGACCAGTATTCTAATTGTCTCAATTCTTGCTACTGGTGCGAAGGTTTCATCATAGTCTATACCTTCTTCTTGGTTGTATCCCTGTACAACTAGCCTAGCTTTGTTGCAAACTATTTGACCTTGCTCATCGAGCTTGTTTCTAAAAACCCACCTAGTTCCTATTACTGTTCTGTTTTGGGGCTTTGGAACCAGGTTCCACACTCTGCTTCTTTCAAATTGGTTGAGTTCTTCTTGCATAGCACCAATCCATTCAGAGTCTAGCAATGCTTCCTTTATATTTTTAGGCTCAATCAGGGACACATAGGCAGAGAATGCACACATACTACGTAATTTGGATCTTGTAGATATGCCTGAGTTAAAAGGAGTAAGAAGGTTTTGCAGAGGGTGAGAGCTTTGATGTTTCCAATTATGAGTGGGAATACTTACTATTTCTTGAGGTGAAGATGAACCAGTTTTATCAGTAGACTTATCTCCTATTTAAGATGTTTTGTCAGATGGTATGGGTTCTTTTTCCCATGTTTTTGGGTCTGATGTCTTGGAGCAGGTTCCCTCATTTTGTTCATCCTCTGAATTTCCTTCAACTTCACTAGTATGTTCATTAAAGACAACATGGACACTTTCTTCTACTCGGTTTGTTCTTTTATTCAGTACCTTGTAGGCCTTGCTTTGTGATGAGTAGCCTAGAAAAATCCCTTCATCACTCTTGGCATCAAATTTTCCCAAATTTTCTTTGTCATTGTTGTGTATAAAACATACATATCCAAAGGCCCTAAGATGTGCTAGATTAGGTTTTCTTCCTTTTAGTAGCTCATATGGTGTTTTGTTTAACACTGATCTGATCATACATCTATTTATTAAATAGCATCCTGTATTTACTGCTTCAGCCCAATAGAATTTTGGAAGTTTGCTTGAGATTAACATTGTTCTTGCAATATCTTCCAGTGTTCTATTTTTCCTCTCAACAACACCATTTTGTTGTGGTGTTCTAGGTGCTGAGAAGTTATGCTCAATCCCATTTGTAGTACAAAATTGTAGGAATTGTGAGTTCTCAAACTCCAGCCCATGATCAGATCTGATGCTGATTATTTCTTTGTTGAATTTCTTCTGAACCAGCTTTGCAAAGACTTCAAACATAGTGAATATCTCATCCTTTGTTGAAAGAAACAATGTCCAAGTGAATCTTGCGTAGTCATCAACTATAACAAACACATATCTTTTTCCACCCCTGCTTTGTACACGCATTGGTCCACACAAATCCATGTGAAGCAGTTCTAGTGGCTTAGTAGTACTTACTGTCGACTTTGGTTTGAAGGATGACCTAACCTATTTTCCTTGAATGTAGTTTCCACATACTTAGAAGTCCTTGAAACTTTTGGTTGGCAGTCCCCTAACCAGGTCTTTAGATATGAGCTTGTTTATAGTTGTCATACTAATGTGTCCCATTCTTTTGTTCCATAGCATGGAGCAATCTGAGACTGCACTTAGACATTAAAGATTATCTTCCTTGGAGTCAACAGTCTTGACTTTGTACACATTCTTGTGTCTCTTTCCTAGTAGAACCAGGTTTCCAGTCACTGAGTTTGTTACTCTGCATTCTTTTTCTATAAAGAGAACGTTGTTTCCTTTATCACATATTTGAGATACGCTCAAAATATTATGTTGTAGGCCATTCACATAATATACGTTCTCAATTGCATTAGTATCCATTGATCCAACCTTTCCAATTCCCTGAATTTCACCACTTTTACCATCACCAAAGGCAACGTTTCCTCATTTGATGTTCTTGAGTGAGAGGAAGCTTCTTTTATCTCCAGTCATGTGTCTTGAGCATGCACTATCCAAGTACCATTGTTGCTGCTTCCTCTTCACTGATCCCTTCAATTTATTTTTGGAGTTTAGATTTTGGTACCCAAATCCACTTTGATTTATGCTTAGGGGATGGGTGGATAAGATTTCTTCTGGCCCATCTAGGAAGAGACTTGTCTGTGGGGATTTGTTTTTGCTCATTGGGTTTATCATGATGAGGTTTTCTCAAGGATTTCAGGTTTTTGTTATGAGCAGTTTGTTTCTTTTGACAATCATGACTTTAATGTCCTACCAGTCCACAGTGTATGCATAAACAATCTATGTTGGGATTTTTTACTTGAGAGCTGGTTCTATCAAAACCTATCCCATGTTTCTCAAATGTGCGATTCTTGTGAATGCTGTCAAGCAGTATGGAGGACCTGGTCCATCTCATTCCATTTTCTGCTTCAGTTTTAGTCACAAGAAGCTCTTTGGAGAGTGTTTCATTCCTTTTAGTTACCAAGTCTAGATTTTTACTTAGTTTGGTATTCTTGGATAAAAGATGAAGATTCTGTTTCTCAAGACTCTTGTTTTCTTCTCTTAGTGATGCATAGTCTTCCATTATCAGTTCCTCTTTTTGAGTCTATGGTTTTATATGCATCAATGAGAGTGTAGAGTAAGGATTATAGCTCTCTTTTTTAGTATGAACCTAGATTGTCTTGTAAGCGATGAAGACTAACCTTTTCATTTATGTCTTCTTCTTCTTTTTCCTCTTCAGAATCTGATCCAGCCATGAGTGCTAGTATGGTTTCTTGTGATTTGCAAGTTTCCCTTTCTTCCTTGGTTTCCATTGCTACAAGGGCAAGAAAGTCATAATCATCTTTTTGTTCTAGTGCAAGAAGAGACTGGTTTTCTGTCTCATCACCCTCAAACTCTTCATCAGATGAACTCCCCATTGCTGCAAAATCCCTCTTCATTGACATGTCTGCCTCTTGAGTTGTCATTCTTTTGCTGAGGGGACAAACTTATCCTTTTTGATGTCTTTTCCTTTCTCAAAGTTTACCTTTTTCTTCTCTACGGCCCAAAGTGGACAGAATTTGATGAAGTGATCTGGACTCCCACACTTATGACAAACCTGGTCTTTAGTGTTTTCAGATGGTTTTTGAAAAGCTTTCTTTTGAAAGGTCTGCCCTCTCTTTAGCATTCTAGTGAACCTTTTGGTTATGAGGCAATATTTTCATCTTCAAAATCATCTGATGCAGTAGCCTTTAGAACCAGATTCCTTTCCTTTCTTTTGCCTCCAATTTCCTTTTCTTGGTTTTTCTTAAGTTCGTATGTGATGAGATTACCAATTAACTCATCCATTCCCAGTGAGTCTAGGTCGCGGGCTTCAGTGGTAGCCTCGACTTTGCTTTCCCAAGTTTCAGGAAGGATACTCAAGAGTTTCCTTACTGCTTTTCCGTTAGGCACTATCTCTCCTAAAGAGTACATCTCATTGATGATGGAGGTGAACCTGGTGTGCATGTCTTGAATAGTCTCTCCTTCTGCCATCCTGAACAGCTCATATTGCCTGTTCAAGTTATCAATTTTAGACTTCTTGACTTGCGTTGTTCCCTCATGAGCTGTTTGCAGTGTTTCCCATATGGCTTTGGCATCTTGACATGACGAGATTCGATTGTATTCGTCTGGTCCTATGCCACATATCAGAATTTTCTTGGCTTTGGCATTGTTTTGAATTGCAAGCTTGTCTTCAACATTCCATTCCTTTCTTTCCTTAAGGATTTTGGTGATTCCATCAGTTGCTGTTTTCATAGGTATGGTTGGGCCATCTAGAATTACTCCCCATAGATCAGGGTTTTCGCCAATAAGATGGTCCATCATACGATTTTTTCACCATCCATAATATTTGCCATTGAACAGTGGTGGTCGTGTTTGTGAAGCTCCCTCTTTTGGGGTAGGTGGTGCTGCCATTGAGTCTTTTCAAGGTGTGAATCTTTTAACGAGAAGACCTGCTCTGATACCAATTGAAGAAACCTTACCCAAGAACACAAACCAGGTTCGTGTAAGTTGCTTTTAAGTAAAGACACAAACACTTATTGAATTAAAAATCTTCCTCACTCAAGGAAGGAAAAACCTCATTTTATTAATTCAACTATAAGATTTGGTGATTACAACTTAATAATCAAAAGTCTTATCTCTACTACTCCCTCGATTGACTCCAGTCGATCTCTCCAAAAGGCCAAACTCACCTTTTGTTACAACTCTGACTAACACTCAACCCTACAAAGAGCCAAACCCACCCTTTGTACAATAAACTGTAAACTACAATTAAGAACAAAAACAAGACAAATAGTTCTACACGATAAAACCTTCTCACTCAAGAATGTTTTAAACGTAGCAATCCTATCAATCTTGAAGACCTCAGTTTGATGAATAATTCTCCCTTGTTCTCTGCGTGAAGTCGTGTTGTTTTCCTCTGCCTCGTACTCTTCTTATAGAGTTTTTGCCTTGTACAATCCTTCCTGATAAGGTAAGAAAGTTATGTTTAAACAAGGATTCTTTTTTAAATTAGAATCCTTATTATACACAACTTCCTTCCTTAATAATATATTTAAGGTTTTCCTTATTTGTATTAACTTGTACCTTTAATATATTATTTTGGCTTTGACAAATAACTCTATTTTACTTGATCTTGGACTCTAGCTTGACTTCTTTTGCTACGTACATTTGCTACTGTTCTTTGCGCTTTTTGTCTATCATCAAAACGAATTATCGATTCTATCACATTCTATCACATAGGAATCCATCCAGTTCCATCTTATGATTTATCACCCTTCTCTACCCCTTTTGTTAGAATCTAAAATAATAGTCTCATTTATACACCTAAAATTCTTCAATAGTAAAATTAATTCACCTAGAATATGAAAGTTGTGTATCAAAACATACAGGGATGCAATCCAAAAACAAAGATATTTAAGTCCAAACAATGAACCCATGACAACCCAAAAAAATCAGCTCAGGAAACGTTCATATCACAATTGATGAGGACCCAAGAATATTTCTTCTTCTCATCAATAAAAGAAGACTAAATGCAATATCAATACATCAAAACAAAAGTGTATAGATAGTGTACCTGATTCAAATATACGTAATATGAACATACAACTATAACTTTGTAACACATGACAAAACATGTATAGCCTTAGTTTGTGAATATAAGCAAAGACTAAAGCCATCAACCTGACTAAACAAAGATATGAGACATGCTCCAACGTCACATCAACAACAATATATGCGAAACCTTTCAACCACCCAAGGATTCCTATGATATCATCTATCTATACGGTGTTGAACATTCGATCAATTTCAATCTACTCAAGAACCACTCTAATATGATATGTGTTGTAGACCAACACATAAAAAAGCACAATCAAACATGTACAAGGAGTAGTATCCAAGACAACCACTTGTAGCTTTGAAAGTTAGATAGGTATGGGAAAAATGAATAGGACAGTAGCCTTTGGAAGGTATAAGCATCGACATCATATTGAGGTTCCCTATTTACCTCAAAGTATGCATCAGATCTGGAGACCCAAGCATGCTCCATCCCCTCTTTGATTATCTAGGCCATGTAAGTAGGGTCTTGGAGATTAGTTGTTTTTCTTGCTGTGCAATTAGTTCATCCCTCAAGTCGGCTTATGATTAGGGGCAGTGGTGATGTTGTGAAGATGAGAAGTTGAAATGTACATCTTAGGAGAATGAAGGATTGAACGCCATTACTGATAGTGACATGCTTATGTGCATATTTCTTTAAAACTACATTTCCAGGCGTTTGTATTGGGATGGTGGTGTCAGGAAACCTACATGATTGTGGATCATTTGCCTTTACATGTGGTTATCTTCGAGTCATATGACTAGTGGTATTATCTGGTGGGTTCTGGCGGATCTGATGGTCCTAAGGTTAGTGATTTCCCCTTCTCTCCACTATGTTTCATGTTTGGGTGCTAGGATACAGGAGTACTCAAAGTTCCACTACTTGGAATTACAACTGGCGTTGTTGGCCAAGGCTCTTGGATAGGATCATCTTCTGCTAACAATACAAGGGTTCTGTGGACTAGCTTGTTCATCCTCACGTTTGAGAGTTGAATCATTCCCCTAGTCTTTTTCAGCTTTCCAAGCGAGGCACCTGAGATATCACTCTAACGTTCATAGAGCTGCTAGGATTTTGTTAGTATATGAGTACTATCATTTTAAATTTAAAAACTATTATTATTATTATTATTATTATTATTATTATTATTATAGGATAATACACAAGTACCCTTCAATCTGCCCGAAATCTCATAGATATACTTATACTATACTAAGATCCTAGTGCCACGTAGACCGAAAATGGGTAAAAAATTTACTTATAAAATAAGTTCAGAGAGGGTAATAGGACCTTAGTATAGTATAAGTGTGACTCTCAGATTTCGAATACACGTAGGCCGAAAAGGGGTAGAAAATTTACTAATAAGTTCCGGAAGGGTAATAGGACCTTAGTATAGTATAAGTGTGTCTCTGAGATTTCGAATATATGTTGAGTGGGTAGTTGTGCCACAGCTATTATTTCAAAAGCTCGGAAATCCCTTCTGGGAACAGCCAGAAGATAGAAAGACCAGTGCCTGGCCTGCTACTGCTTCGGATGGATAATACGACGTTACTACTCTCCTTCCTGCTTGCCATTTCCTTTTTAAAGCTGCATTTTCCCCATATTATTATTAAAAAAAGGCCTAAAACCTTGAATTTATTTTGACTTTTAAGCTATCAAAGTGCTCGAGTCGCCCATGTTTAAACTGACAAACATCAAACCATATTGAGGGATAATGAATTCATGATAGACTTACAAACTTACCATATACGGATCATAAATATAAAAAAAAAAATCCATTAATAAACATCGAGACAGAAAACTTTTTTTAAAAAAAATCTAAGTGATCTCTTCACTTACATACCTATTAATTAGCCGCCACAGGATACATACTCAAATCATTTAAAACCTATAGTATTTCTTAAAGGAAGAAAACACATTGGAGTGTCTTCCTTCCATAGATCTTCTATTTTAATTTCCATGCCTACCTCATAATTAGAGATTCAGGTACCAATTAATTGACAATCGATGATTGAGCTCTCCGGAGCTCATTATACCTCTGAAGATCGAAACTATGAAGTTTCATAAGTCGTTTTTGCTTTGTACTAAAACGTGCTTGGAAGAATCCTTGAAAAGAAGGTTCTTTAGATGTCTTAAGAAAGAAAAAATAAGTAACCATGAAATATGTTGATGTGACGTAGAAACAAATTGGTTCCATAACATCCCATGTTAAGTCCCAAAAAGTGAACCTCATGAAAGCTGTTGTCTGAATTACCAAACATCCAAGTCCAAACCACATTTCTTTACGTACTAATGATTCTGCTTTATTGTCAATGGATGTTTTTACCACCTCCATTTCTTCAAGCTCCTTCATTCGTTCTTTCTCATGATTTAATTGGTGCATTGGCATTAGTTCTTGCATGGCTTGAATCACCTGTAACGCAGAGACGAATTTAATATTTGAAATTTATTCATTTTGATAATATATAGTAATAATTAGGTTCGTAAGCAAATATTTCATAAGTTGTCTTAGTTACTATTTAAGCGGTCAAATGACATTTTCTTTTAACCATATACTTTTTAAATATTTATCTACTTTGACTCAATACTATTTTTTAGTTTCTATATAAAAAATCAAATCCGAATTCACATCAACAATTTATCTCTCTAACCTTCATTCTGAATCAAGAAACTCAGAGGGGATATTTTTTTTTATATATAATTATAAGGATATAAAAAAAAATAAGGAAAATAAATTAAACCAACCTGATTAGGGCGGAGAAAAACAATGTTTCCCAAAACAATAACATCACCAGAATCGTCAAGCCTCTTAGCAAATTCCATGCCTTGATCATCATCCAAATTACATGTTTCTTTACAAATTTCAATAAATTCAGCGAACAACATAGAACTTTTTTCGATTTTCCTTATCCTCGATTTCAACGTCTCAAGTCGTGACAACCTTAAAATCTTTCTCGCATCCTCTATGGAATCGGGTCGTGGTGGGGCCCGTGGAGGCAAGAGTAATGTTCCATTAATTAATCTTGTCCTATCTCTTGTAATAACGTCCATCTCATGTAATTTCTTGCGGAGCTTTTCTCCCGTTAGAATTAGTGACCTTTGGATCTCCGACGATGATGCCAATGATTGGTGAAGAAATCGTGGTCGGGGATCCGAAGTCGTAATTTTATCATAATTAGTAGATTTCACCTCCACCAAAGTTGATGAAGCAATACGGCATGTTGTTAGAGATGGAGCACTAAATTTGTATGCACTAAAAATACGTTGGGGTAATGTTTTCTTGAACGCCATTTTATTTTTTTAGTCAATAAAAATAATTAAGAACCTTATTTGATGAGGAGAAAAGGTTTGTGAACTCTATGTATATATATATAGGTCTACCAATGAAAAAAAACCAAATCAAGGGTGTTTTAGTCCAATTATACAAGATTATATAAGGACGTGGAGTTGAGTAGATTAATTGTCATGATTAACACGTGGCAATTAAAATTATAAGGATAAAATTTGTTGACGTAAGATGGATTTAAGAAAATTATAGTAACGTTTTTTTTGTTAAACAAGATCGTGTCGCCACATATATCCGATGTGGCAGACTTCAGTTAGTTGAATTGTTTCATAAATTTACTTATCCTTGCAAAATCGAAATTGCCGCACACTAGTACAACTTCACATATTTTGGTAAATAAGATTAAAAATTTAGTATTATTTATTCATTTCTAAATGTGTT